TCGGAGGCTCCAAAAGTTATCATTATTCGTAGCTGGAACCTTAATTCATCATTCCGCACGATGTTATTCTTTTGTGGTCTACAGGCGAGTCAGCAATTCATCACTCACTCAAGGGGTATTCTGATGGCAGTCAGACGCCTGAAGCTTTTTTAGCGGCATTTACACATTCAGACAACAGTTGTTCTCCACTCGCCTTCTAGCATTCTTCAACGAGGAAATATAAATTCATGTTTTCTGGTTGATACCGGTGCAGAACTTCTTCGCAGATATCGAGATATATTTCGTTGTAGCGTTCCTCTTGCCACAGGGAGAGACTGTGATACGTGGCGGTTTACCTATTTGGAAACCGTAGATGTTAATCTGTTTAATGCTGTCGATATCACAATACCGGAGTTCCTGGTGGTCGGTATATCGAGAACATGAAGAATAACTTTCTGCTTCGCATTCAGTCAGAACCGAAAGGACGCGGATGCCGAATGCTTTTCTCTTATTGTATAATTATAGGTCAACCGACTTGCACGGTAATGGTTCACGAATGCGAATGAAAGCCAACAGAGTACCGTTCGCGAAACCAGTGTTGGACCAATAGATCAATTTGTGCTTGACTTGAATTGGTGGAGTAGGGTTCTCACTTTTTTTTACCAACGGTTCACTCAAAACAGGAACATTCTGACAAGGATCCGCCTGTTGGAAAAGGGTGAAGAATGATACAGCTTCAAGTTCTAAGCAGACACGAGCTTCTGTTAGTGGTTATAAATATGTGATAGGTCAATTGAACGAACTGTATCACGTGCACTTACTTCACCCAAGGCAACCGGATCTAGGGGAAACAGTGAATCCACGAAAATGTTCTCCAAGTACCAACGGAAGCTTTTACAGTCCAAGCGTTTACGCAACGCTTGGCGCTCAGATACATCTCCATAATCTGCTTTGGCCGCATCTAAATAAATAATAATAATAATTATGAATAAATAACACGAGAGGACATATAACAGTGACTAATGACAGCAAGAAAAATGAACACGGTATAAAGCTAGTTAACTATGTACTCACCAAAGTGAGTGGAAAATTGATGCCAAGACGCTGGCACACACGGGTATCCATTAGAGTGGGGTGTAATTCACCAACCAAAATTTCAAGATTGATTGCTTTAATTTCGCTCGAAAGATCTTGATGATTTTACAATAACAATTAAACTACAGGAATATCCTTAGTAGCCAAAAACTTGAAGCCAGTTTCGACTGGAGGTTCTCAGGAGCAAACGCAAAAAAGCTAACGAGTAGCGTAGTACAAAATCTCAATGTACTGAGTTCGAAATGTTTTGCAAATCCATTCCCAGGAAAGCAACATTGATTCACGGATATCAAGAAATAATATGTTCCAGTGCACCGAACATCGAAGGAAGCACAGACAACTTCGGGTGGAAGATAAATCCGGATTAGGCATGTGCTGACACCCATATGGCTTATCCTTCTGTAGTATCAGCTTTATGGGATGTCCCTAAAATGTGCATTGGTGGACGACATTAGCAAAGCGCAACGGAGATGGCTAGCCAGAGACAATATTGAATTAAATTTCCCCCGAAATCGGCGGTAGTGAGACAGAAAAAATAATATATGTATCACTAACTCCTGTGACACATACGTCGGTTCTATAGCGAATAATGCGCGCCAGAAATCTTCGAGAATGAGACTGCCATATCTGTGCACTGAAGTACCAAGTAGCATGTGAATCCGCCCACTGATTTGAGACGGGTAAAGCCTAACCACGTTTTACAATGTAGTATATTTAAAATGTGGGTTGCCTTTCTTGGTAGAAAGACGAGTGTCTTTTGGCCACAATATAGCCATGGATTCTAAACAAATATCACGACCGTTTTAGACAGCTAAGAAAGACATCTGAGGGGTTCAATTTGTTTAGGAGCCCTGATGACACTGAAGCACAATTTATCGAGCATTCTAGATCCATTGAAAAAAATTACTAATTTCGTTTTGTCCGCTGCCTCTAGCAGTGGTTTGTTTTTGAGGACACATGCCAAGTGAAAGTTAGGAAGCTGTGATACAAACTTGTGTTCTGCAAAGTTTAATTTGATTATATTGACAACAGATTGCGTCAAGTGTTCCCTGAATACTAGAGCCCTCTGGAATTTTAATTGATTCCGAATTTTGGTGTAGTCCACAAACAGTCGACTTTTGGCCAAGATTCAGAAGAACGTTTATTGAAACGATGAATATGCATGGGTCCGTGCGAAAACCCAATAGGTTCTAACAGCGAGTCACAAATTTAAACGGACATGCACACTGTCGAAGAAGCTTCTCGGTTTCATCAAGGACCAGTTTTGTGGAGACAGATAAACAACATTTGGTAGTTTATCGAGTGAAGTCTTTGGAAAATTATCAATAGATTTCGTCCACCGCGTTTGATGCGTCGAATGTCTTTATCCAATCATAAAATCTGGGTAGCAGCTTGGTGGCGCTCGACCTTTTCATCGACGTGTTCAGCAAGGAGCAGAAATTGTGTTCGAATGATCCGGATGCCAGCAAAAGTTAAGGAATTCATTCAAGAACGAACTGATAGTCAGTGCTCTTACCACACTAATCAGCCATTAACCATGCGCTCCGAACTCACACAGGGAAGCCTAAAGGAAAGTAACCCTTGGTAATTCAGAAATGGCCACATTTGTTTTTACAATCACGATATAAGCAGCGAAGGACGTGACCACCAGAGCAGCGTTTCAAGTCCGAGCTGAATAACTGTTATTCCACACAGGTCCTCCATATGCAACGAGAAAGATGAAATGGCGAATCTCATCAATGGTACAAGGCATCGGAATCGGACTGAGAACTCACGTTGATCTTATTAACACCGTATTTACATTAAAAAAAATTTTATTTCACATTTTAGTATGATGAACAGCAGACAGCATAGTTACCAGGACCTGCTGTACATCGATGAAAACCGGTAACCTAAGCCCCGGGACTTGGAGTGGCAAACCACATAAAGCCCTGATAGGTTGGGCGTGGTAGTGAACCGGACGACAGCAAAGCTGCCTACCACCAAAGTTGGGTGGCGGGGTTCGAACCTCGGACCTTAAGGTCCAAAGCATGCCGGTGACAGAGACCGAACTACTGCGCCCTTATATCCTACAGACTCAAAAAAGGATTGACCTTACTTTGAACTCACTAAGCGCGTGTCTTTTATTTCGTTACAGTTGGTGAGTTTCTGATCACAACACAGTCAGGTTAGAGTAATCTGCTCTCCACGCTCATTATGTATTATCCATGTTGTCTTGATCACTGCAGAAAGCATTTGGGTCACCACGCTTTCACCAACCACAGAATGCTCTAAAACAAAACACCCGTCAAAACAATAGTGTCTTACTCACTACATGAAACACAGTACAAACGGCCAACTCGAAGGTACAGAAGGTCTCCCGTGCGATGAGAGTAATCGACATCCAGAGCCCTGAGATTTCGAGGGGTAAACCGCATGAAACCTTAACAGGAAAGTGGTTAATGTAAGCTGGACACTAATGGAGTGGTATTTCATCCCCAGTTATGTGCAATTGTTTCATTGATAGCTCTTGTATTGAGAACTAACTTGTTACTACAAACGGTACTCTGTCGACGATGTGGAAGTTAGACTGTGTGAAAAAGTTTAACTGACGATGATAAATTTATGTATAAGATGAAAGCCACACCCTCCACTGTTTTGTTTAAGTAAGGTCTTCATCATCAGCACTGTGTATGCAACTAGTGAGAAGATTATCTAGCATCTGATTTGATGATAGAATAAATTTCGTCGAACGCAAGGGAGGTGGCTAGTGGAATGAGGGGCGACAAAGCGCCGCCTTCTCGGTCATTACCGTCGATGTTTCGACAGGCGAATGCAAGTGTCCTGCCCACATAATAACGGTACAATTAATCGAATTAATTAACTTTATCTGCCCGTGAATTCCCCGGTAGAATAGATGAATGCGTACCCTCATACCCAACGAAAAAGTTTATCCCACAATCCATTTTACCATTAAACACTCAGGCATGGAACGCTTCCGACCGAGTTATCCACTTCCCTATGAGATGAGTGATGCGAAATTTTGAGATTCATGAAGGATAAAGATCAGAGTTCATAAAAAACAATGTAGCATAAGCGGAGGTTTGCTAAGCGATAAATCCAACTTTCGTCTAAAAGCACAAGTAATTGTGGTAAATTGGACAGATCAGAATTAATCTATATATAACAGCGTTTTATTTTATTTTTATCAGGTGGGGAGTTGGGTCCACCTGAAAGCTGCATGGGAAAAAACAGAAATAGCGAAGACAGGAACGAGGGCGCTGGCATGTTTCGAACAAATGACTGTATAATGATTAACTCAATTTGTTTTGATACACGGGCATTCGTCATGCGACATTGTCTCGTAAATTAACTCACCAGGATTAAAGCCCATATAGAAGGCTTGATATTCATCCATCCAAACAAGCGCCGTACGCATTGAATTTCGTGTGAGAACGTGATTCACACCACCAGGCCACTGGTAGGGGGACAGTTTACGAAATACGTGACCAACGCGACTGCACGGAGCAATGTATAGTTCACCACCGCATTGCCAAATACGAAGCGACATTTCGACATTCTCACCACCCCAGACCACCATTCCAGTGTCATATTTTCCCAGCTGTATGCCGAGGACAATGTTTGATGGGAAAATATTTAAAACAATTTGTGCCATCATTGCACCAACCGTTTATCACCATTTGCGCAACAAAACACGCCTAAAGCAATACACATGAAGAAAGTGCTACATTGGATGAAAACGAACAGGGAAATCAACCATAAACCAATAACTTCAGTTTAACTTTTTGCAACCATTAGCCGCGCACTTCCGTGCGCCAGTTTCGGTTACTGCCTTTCGACCGCCCATTAGGATAAAAGAGCAGAATGAAGATAAGAATGTTGGGAGCAGAGTAAAGAGAAGGGTGTGTCCAAGAAGTTTATTTCAACAAAACGGTCCCGTTACACTAATAGCCGAAGCCGAGTTCGAGCTAACTGCACTTTTCGACCGAGTTCACTATAGAAAGTGGTGTTCGTCAAGGTTGCCCTCTCTCGCGTTTTCTATTTAAGTTTATCATAGATTCAATTCTTGAAACTGTCCTATCCTCGTGCGATGATAGTGGCATTTATTTTATCTCAAGTGGTAGATTGTCTGATCTGATGTATGCAAACGACATTGTGCGACTGAGTGAAAATCCAGGTAAGTTGCAAGCTTAACTGGATAGTGTGAGTGCTAATGTAGCTATGTTCGGCATGCATTTTGCACACATACAGAAGGCTCGGTTGGAAATTGTCAACTTGAGACACCAGCGGCGCCATCGCGACATTCGGCTGTCTGTGAAGCGTTGAGTATATGCTGCAGTAGTAAGATCTGTCCTGATCTACGGTGCACAGACTTGGCTATTAGGGAAACAGGATAAAAAAGATTGTCCCAGTTCGAACACTGCTGTCTACACCGCATCGCACGAGTTTGGTGAGCAAACCGGACAAGCGATGCTGAGGTTAGGCGCACAGTTTTAGGTAACTGAAGAAACGGTTGTGTCACGTTGATCCTGGCGCGTAGTGTATTCACGAATCAGGAGGAAGAAATCATTTCATGAACAACTTTGCATTTTAAAAGGAAACCGGGATAATAGCCGGTCGAACAGAGACCAAAACATGGTGAGCCAGTTAGGTTTACCAAAAGCTATCTCGGATCAAAATGAGTCAGCGCGCGCGCGCTATCGAGAGGGACAGAATGAAACGAAAGTTATTTTAAATGAATTTCACTAAATTCGGTCTACTTGAAAATTGAAACGGAACTATCTAACATTGTTCGCTGCTTGTCGAAACACACCAACAACAAAGAATTAGGAGAAACAGTCACGCAAACAATCGAGCACAAAAATTTTCAAAATGTGAAGTGCTCTCCTATCCAGAAGGGCAAAGGTTTAAGAAGAAACCAGGCATCTCAGTAAAAAAAGAACGAGATGTTTGTGTTTTGTCTACACTTTTAAACAGGGATAAATGATAAATGTGGGTTTAGTGGGGAGACAATTGAACAAAAGAGGGTGCGCTGAACAGTGCAAGAGATAAAGCTGAAGAAAATGAGCTGGGTATTCTGCAAATGTATACCATCAGCTTCTGGAACGAAGGCGAACGGACGACCGAAGCCATTCAGGACAACTAAGTGAACTATAATGGGATCTCTATTGAACAGCTGATCAAAGAAGTTAAAATATTAGAAAGAATAGCAAACACTTGAAACATTGATGGTGACGGTGGTGGTTTATTACGTGAGCTTGTAGTTAAACTAACGTTTCCAAATTATTTCCGGTACAGTAATATACAACAAAGAAGATAAAGCGAAACATAAATCAAGAACCAGAAATTGAGTCCTATGTGGCCGACGAGCAGGAATTCAACGGTTTTTCCTACGTAACTATCGTGAATGACTGAAATTTTGGCAAGTGCCTGAATTCACACGAAAACAGACTGAAAGACTCATCGCTGTGTACCACATCAGTAAAAGTGGCGTGTGCAGGAAAACCGTCGAGGCCAAACAAGGGTCTTGACTATCACTTAAATGGGGGCAACATAGAAACAAATACATCTTCATAGATATACTGCCCGCGAACAGTTCACACACTGAAGCTGTTTACATTGTCTGAGTATATTGTTCATGATGATGATGTGCACGTTCAGTTCAGTTTTTACAACCATTCAACATGCACTTTCGTGCGCCGGTTCGGTTGCTGTCTCTTTGCTGCCCATTTGGATAAAGGAGCAGAATGAAGATTGGAATATTGAAAGCAAATTCAAGCGGAAGATGGAGAATCCATAAAGACTGATGTTGGGAGAATGAGTGGATGCACGAGCGCTACTGTTTGCGACATTTATCCATATCACTTAGTGTTTTCTAAGCATCGATGACCATCATCTCGGGGTCCCCAGCCAGGGAGCCCAACGGGGCCCATGTGACCCAGTCTCCTGGTTAGGGTTTTCATACCCTCATGCCAGATCCTCTTTTGAGCACCCTCGACCTCTTTCCAACCGTTAACTGCCTCAGCAAACATCACTAGCCGTGGCAACCTATCTGGTGACGCGCGTAACACAAGCCTCAACCAACGTAATCTACGAAAGTCGATCACCTGTTCCAGTGGACGACCGCGACTGCCTGAAACTCTGCTTGCACGAAACATAGCATAAACGAAAAGAAATTCCTATTTGGGTGGAGAGGGCAAGGGTTACACTGGTCTTCTGTATGTACTTTCGTGCACACAGTGATTACACTGACCAGTAAAACTTAAGATTTTGCAATTACGCCAAGCTGGACACAACAATTGTCAATTACCATCAATGGATGAATCAGGTGTGACAAACATCACAGATACATACTCTAAAATCGCCGCAGTTTGAAACCATGTTCCCCCAACGGATGCCGGCGGCAGAGAAGAGAGAGAACGATCATCACAAAAAATAACAGGTACTAGTTCACGGTCACGTCAGAGTTTGTCACAATGGGGAACCTATTCTCGCATTCGATTGATTTGCTTAGTAGATTAATAGTATGTTGTGGTGCTTAAGAGAGATTTAAACAGACAGACTATCGAACTAGAAAAATATGGAAACCTCAGAAGTTATGGGAACAAAAACCTTCAGAGGTACACTCATCATGGTCTTTACCCAGTTTCCCAACGGAACGTACCTCATTGAAGTATTCCGTGGCAATAGTGAAGAGTCCACCAGCCATGGAAGGAGTACGTATTAAGGCCGTGTGATTGGAACCGATACGAGTGCTCTCAGAAGTGGAGATTGGAGACCAGTGAAAAGTCAACTGCCAGTCAAAAGTTCCGTAAATGCGATCGGAACCTGAGTCGCATGGTGGGTAGCAACCATACGAAAAGAAAAACATACACGTGATTGAAAGCATACTTGGTTTTGGGAGAGTTAATATCTGAACTCAATAAACGCTCAACAAAACAGGTTGATTCAATGGATCTAAAACAAACGGATGACGCACACGAACGGGAAGATTCGAGGATCGTTAGTACATGTGTGTGACAAACTTTTCCCCTGAGCTGTAAACACCGATTACACAACATTCAAATTCTGTCAACCAAGATAGGACACCTAACGGATACAGTTGTCTAGCGCAAGAACCAGACTGGTTTTAGACATGATCGAAGTTGTATAAACCGCATTTCCACCTTTAGCAAATTACGGAACACAGACACTCCTTTCCTCGATCTGAAAGCAGCATTCGACCGCTCCAAACTGTGTCACAAACAGGAGCGCTCGTGCATCTTCTCAATATCCTTCCAATCCGTCAGTATGAAGCCTGCGTTTTCTCTTTGAACCGGCTCTTAACGTTCTAACCTTCATTCTGATCGTCTATCCAAATGTGCAACCCAAACACGCACAGGAAGTGTATCGTTAGTGGCTTTGAAAAATGAACTGAACAGATACTCTAACCTGCTGGTAACGTCACCAAATTATCACCTCGGGGACGTGTGTTCGAACTCCACCACTACCGCCTGACTTTCCCGATGGCAACCCTTTGATTGGCCACTTCCCAATTTCTGAAAATTGTATCATTGTGTATTCAATAAAAGGAAGTAAAATTAAAAAAAGGTGAAAAATGAACGCCAACTGAAGTCACANTCACATTTTGTCCTCCTTAATTAATTACCATCCAGCCCCCGGAATACCTTTGAAACATACCACACAGGTTAGCGTGTTCATTTTTCAATGTTCATACATAGTAACAGCTCTATCTGATAATCGAACATTGACCGCACTGCGGGTATTGACACTTTTTAAAGGTAGATATTACAGGTTTCTTCTGAACTCCCTTGTGAATAATGTGGAAGTCTTTTATTTGTACTTTATTTTGTTGAATACACAAAGGTACAATTTTCAGGAAGGGGGAAGCGGCCAATCAAAGGGTTACCATTTAACACACAATGGGAGAATTCAAGCGGTGGTGGTTGGGCTCGAACCAATCCCCGGGATGGTTATTTAGTGACGTTATCACCGGGCCAACACTGCTTGGTGATAGCTATCCAGAACATTATGGTTTCAATATTGTGCTTTACTCAGGAAAACGAAGTCAGTCATTCACTCTATAGAACCCTAAATCTTGCGCGTTCGCGCATGGGGGTTTTAGCTCGTTTTTTCACTGCCCATTTGGATAGGGGAGTAGATGCCGAAAGCAGAAAGCTCGGAAAAGCATCACGATAAAGATACATATGGCAATAAACCAAAAATACGAAAACACTTTGTGCATTCAGCCACATCCCTAACCATGTATTAGACCGATCCAGTGGTTCGTAATCGGGAAGCGTAACGCGATCAAATCCTTCGATCGTAGTTTCTGTTCTTCCATGCAAAACACACTTTTCGATCATTGCCTTATCTCTTGCTGACAACTCGCCTCTCTGTACTCTTTATTCTGCCTGAACCTCTGTGACCTCATTATTCAACGCACTATAGGAAGCTCTTGTCTAGATTACGTAATCACAAATAACGCTGAAGCGTGATCAAACGTATCAAACATTTCTCCCTCTTAGGCACCAGTGGTCAAAGCCTGATCCTAGTGGGACCTAAGACTTACTCCTATTCAGGACACATCTTTTTACTCAAGCTGAATACATCAAGTTCCGTCAACAAGATCTTTCCCAGATTATTGCTCTACAAGAAGAGTATCTCAAAGTGGTCATTGATTAATTTCCTTTAAATACAACCTGGTTGTCCAACATGACATTTCTAACAGACGTGTTTTGAAATATGCCGTCCTGTGATAACTCAGTTCCTTCAATATGGCAGAATAACAACACCTTTTCTTAAACGGCTCCGTGGTAAAAGGAACGTACATTTAAATGTGAAAGGAGGGCTGAAATGCAACGGCAATCATTTATGATCAAAAGTAAAATAAGACGGTAGGATTCAATGTATGCAAATCATTTTTTTTGGGATGAGGAACTGTTAATTTATGCAGCGCGGAATCAAACTGTTATATTCCGAAAACGCGGTGCTGGTCGAGGAGAGTTCTTTATTGCAGAATACAGATGGAAGGTCACTAATTTTGCATGCATAACACGAAAAGCTCATCAGAAACATGCCTTCGCGACACATGGGGCAATGGGTATAGCAGGCAGTGTTTATTCTTCCCAAATATATTACT